TCTAATATTTTTCCATTCATGCTTAATCTTCTAAGGATATACATTTTGTGGAATATCCCTATGTGTTTTTTTATTGAAAATGAGAAAAATTTTAAAATAACCATTTGCATTTTTAAAATATTCATATGCATTTTCAGAATGTTCATTAGTGTTTTCATGAAAAAAAATAAAAAAAAATCAGAATAACCATTTGTGTTTTTAGAAAATTCATAGGTGTTTTCATGAAAAATGAGAAAGTTTTTAAAATAATCATTTGTGTTTTCAGAATATCCATTTACATTTTTAGAACATTCATATATGTTTTCAAAATATCCATAGAAGTTTTTATAAAAATGGGGAAACTTTCAGAACAACCATTTGCATTTTTAGAATATTTATATGTGTTTTTAAAATATCAATAGGTGTTTTTATAAAAAATGAGTAAATTTTTAAAATAATCATTTGCATTTTCAGAATATTCAAATGCGTTTCAAAATATTCATAGGTGTTTTCATAGAAAATGAGTAACTTTTCAAAATAACTTTTTTTGAAAGATAATGGCATCTCATTGAAGTGTGTGCATACAAGGGAAGACCAATTGCATATACTTCAAGTCATATGCACCCCTTAAGAAAATAGCCCTTTTAGGAAGATCCATTGCATATGGGGACTGATTACTTGCATATATAGAAGACTTCTACACATGAGGAGAGCCTACTGCGTATATGGAAGACCTTTTGCACATGCGTGGAAGCATTTTGGTTCAACGAAAGATGATTGCATTTTATTAAAAATGACTGCATATAAGGGAATATTAGTTATATATCCTTGATATCATTTGCACCCATAACATTGGACATTTAAGAACAATTGTTGCATATGATGACTAATTATTTGCATATATGGAAGACTTCTACACATGAGGAGAGCCTATTGTATATATGAAAGATCTTCTACATATGTGAACAAAATTGTATTTTGTTGAAGATCAGTCGCATATCGTGAAAGACAGGTTGCATATGTTTTTAAAGGTATTCATAAGGGAAATTAGTAATGGATATTCAAATATGAATAAATGATATTCGAATATATGAAAGAAAATTATATTTCATTGAAAATCAATCGCATATTGTGGAGACAAGTTGCATATACTTTTAAAGGTATCTTTATGAGGAAATTTGAATATGCATAAGTGATATTTGAATATGTGAAAGAAAATTGCATTTCATTGAAGATCAATCGCATATCGTGAAAAAAAAGTTGCATATACTTCGTTGAAGATGTTTTGCGTATATCATGGAAGAAGCATTATCTGCGACATACTAACACCAAAGGACCTTGTGTCACATATTGACATTTAATTATTGACAGAGAAGGGCCTGTGATGTATTGACAGCCAAGGATCTTGTGCAATATATTGACAGCAACAGATCTTGCTCGATTTTTGTTTTTTTTAATCATTTAGAGTATTAATGTCATTTAACCTTCACCAATTATTGACAGTGAAGGACTTTTTTTAAAAAACAATCCCAAGTCCTTCTTGGCAATTAGATTTTCGATGGAGTTTTTTTTCTAGCAATTTTTTCAAATTTAAATTATGTGTTCTCTCTGTTATTAATTGTGTGTGTGTGTGTGTGTGTGTGTGTGTGTTTGAAAGAGAAAGAGGTCAAGGTCGGAGGTGCAGTCCTCTATGGGCGTACCTAATTTGGGAAATGAAAAAGGATGGGGTTGGTTCCTGCAACTATAAATGCCAAGTTTTTCGGGACCGGACACAGTGATGAGCACCATGACAATTTGAAATTTCCAAATTTAGTATTTTACCAAATTTTCATCCCGAGAATGGACCCTATAAAGCAATGAAGCATTAAATTATGTGTACAATTGTGCCAACAAAGTTCAATTCAATCATATTTGATTTAGCAAAATTTAGAGATTACATGCGTGTATGATTTACTTTTTATGTACATATAATTGTTTTAATTGTTGAAGTGCAATTGATGTTGGCCTCAAGAAAGGACGAAATGACTTGTATTGTCATTATTTTTCGGCCAACAAGTGACTCGTATTACGCATGAAATCCTAAACAATGACACGACCAAATAAATGTCGAATAATTATGTGCTTCTACACTTTTAGGGCAGTTACAATTTGAAGGAGTGTTAATTGGGGCCCGAACTGGTAAGTGAATATTCCTTAAGCAAAGCATGTTTGGAAATTAAAGCATCACATATATATATATATAATTAAAAAAACCACACACACACACATGCAGGATTATGCAATAATAAATAATTAAATATATATTATATGTTTTTGCTTTTCCGTAATCTTTGATCTTAGGTGTTAATGATAATTCCAAAAGTCATCACTTATAGCCTTGAGCAAAAATCTCTTTTACATGATTCTCTTTAACTCGACAAGCACTATCGTCTTGTTCACATCATTTTTTTTTCAGATTCATAAAATCTCTACGAATGTGAGCTTTTGAAATTTTAGATTAATTGTTAATATTATTAGTTGATGTTTCGGATCTTTTGTATAATTTTTCAGGTAATTTTTCAAATTTAATTACAAAAGTTGTACTGTACTAGTTATTAAAAAAGTAAAGAAAAAATATATTTTAGATAAGTGATTCAAATTAGAGAAGTGATTAATCATTAAACTGAATATATATTTTACTGTTAGTTAAAATAAAATACGGTGAGTTTAATTTTAACATGTGAAAATCAATCATTAATATTCCATATAAAAGAAAACTAATAAAAAATATTAATTTATCATTGCTTTATTATTTATTTATCTCTATGAAAAGTAGAGCATAATTTATTTTGTAAATAATCATTTACATTACACAAATTTGAAAAATAAATTATTCTATAACTTATCATAATATAATTTAGTATAGATTTTATTTTTTATTAATTATCTTTGTTGTGCTATATGCTCCATCCGTCACAAATTATTAAACAATCTTGAAGGTATTTCATTATCTAAAAATATAAAATAATTTAATAAAAATAAAATTTCATTTATAATATAATTTTCCAAAAGAAAGATAATTGAAATGTTTGTAATGTAATAATTAATTATGTAAATTTAAAATTATCTTAAATAAAAGATATTTTTAAAAGTTTACATTTTTATTTTTAAAAATAATTTTTTTTAATGTCATTGTTGAGCTTTATTGATATATGTAGTCTTATTTCAAATTATCTTAGACTCTCTCTGGTTTAAAATATACTCCCTCCCTTTAAAAATTTAAGGTATTTTTTGAGGAGTTGAATATTTAAAAATGTAAGGCATTTTTAATTTTTGGAGATGTAATTAATGTTTTTTTTTAAAGTGTCCTTATTGATAATGACTTTATATTTATTGTAAGGTGTTTAATAGAAATAACTATGAAAAGATAGAGTTAGTTAAAAAGTAGGTAAATACTTTATTAACGGTGAAATTCAGTTCAAAATACTTTATATTTTAAACGGAAGGAGTAAGTAATTTCTTTCAATTAATTTTGATTCAAAATATAAACAATTTAATATATGTAAAATAATTTTTATTTTATCTATTGTATTTGTCAACCTATATCCTTATATAAATTCATTTATTACTAACGATGAAGTGTATTGATAATTAAAATTTAAAAAATAAAAATTTTATTAGCATGTAAATTTATTTTAAAAAATTACTTGTAAAAGGAGTAATTTGGAAGCAAACGATCTGCCATGTGTAGATTAGTTACGATATTAGGACGCCGGTCTGCCATGGGGAGCATAATTATTTGATAGAATAATGGCCATGTGTCCGTGTCTAATTAGATGAGAAGTCATTTCAAAGAAGTCCAATCAGCTTTAATGAAGTAATGTTAAATTCATAATCATCAATGGGCAATATAATAATAGAGCTGCCGGATGAATTATTTTGTGTATGTTGAATGGAATTAGGAACGGATTTTGAAGGACAATGTACGTACCCCATGCTGATCATGCTGGGGTGAGACATCAAATATAATTATTGAACTTAGTAAGTCCCTGTTGTTATGTGCCCGTGAAGATTTTGTCCGTTATATGTCGTCGTTTCGTTTTATGTGTACTTTAATCCTCATTAATTATCACTAATACCCTGGCCTCCTGAAATATATCATATAATACTCTCATGGTCCCACCCTTATTATAATGCGTACATATATATTTCTACACTTTTTGGGCACTTTTTTGGCCCAAAAAAGTGTACAATTATATGTGTGTGCAAAAAAGTGCCCAATTGTGTGTGTGTGTGTGTTATATCATCAGCCGGGATTTAGGGGTTCAAGTTTCAGATCCAGGATTTAGTATCAGGATTAATTATTAGGGTGAAGGCATAAAAATTATCCTCTTGGGTCTTGACTTGTTGTGGATCAAGATATGCACAATAAAATAATTAACTTGTTTTTTTAATATTTTTTTATCACCAACAGATACTTCATCGGTATTAAATTTAGACATATAATTATAATAAAAAAAATATAATTATTGATCCTTATAATTTTATTGAGTTTTATTTTTAATCCTTATAATTTTTTTTAGTATTTTTAGTTCTTATAATTTTAGAAAGATTGGATGACTTTTATTTTTTAGATTCCTATAGTTTCTATTTTTCAGTGTTTTTAATTCCTATAAAAAATGAAAATATTGAAAAAATATCCAGATTAAAAATAAAGCCAGATGAAATTATAGAAATCAAATATTATATTTTTTAATTTTAATTTATTATCTTGTAAGAAACCAACTCCTTCTGCTCAATCCCAACCTCTCAATGGTTGATTTTTCTCTACTTTATTTTTTTCAGTCTTGACTTCCTTTTTCCTGAAGTTATATATATTGAATCAATATTCAAATATTCAGATTAATTAATTCTTTTTTCTTAATAAAATATAACATTTGAATAGTTTAAATTTAATTTGATGGCCCAGATGTGCAATAATTTTTCTATTGCAGTGAAAAGAATCTTGAGACTATAAAGTAATATAGTATATGAAGCAAACGTTGACAATAGCAAAGTTGAATGTTTTATTTCATGTTTGTAAATTGTAATTTATCAATTTAAAAAATACAGAAAAATAAACCAAATATTGAAGTAGATTACCAAATGGCAAAGGGACATGAAACGAGCTGAGAAATCAAGGAAACTGTTTTTTTTTTTTTTTTTGCTTTTGGTAGAAAATAATAGGGTATTAATTAATTATCAGGATTTACATTTGGTAAGCTGTTCTCTTCTGGTAGCGAACGCTTGGGAATGTCTCATAATCCAAAACCTCTCAATCTCTTCAGCTTTCCGACCTGGAATCCTACCTGCTATCAGACTCCATCTGAGAAACACAAGTTTATATGCACAAGTAAATGCTCCAACATATATAATAATATACACTTAAAAAACGAAAAGAAAAAAACCTCCAGACAGGAGCTTTATTATTTCTTATCAGGCTTGGTCCCTCACAGGTTGAATAGTCCAATGCGTTTAAGCAGAATTTATTAGCATTTTCAATAATGCACACTCTATCGTCTTCATGTTGAAACAATGCCCATAACCGTGCTTTAGATATGCAGAGGAGCAGGACCACTGCCTTTGGATTCTAATATAATGCATGTTTTGTAAAATTCCCATGAAAACATGCAAAATTTTCATCTTTACGTTCACCTAGTTTCTTTTGGTCCTATTATTGATTCTTCAAGTGCCAGACCAACACATGGGAGGTCATTTTTCTTAACCTTTATTTTAAAAAAAACGTAAATTGTATTGACAGAGATATTGATAAAAATATTGCATGTCTATGTTTTCCAGCATACAATTTTCATATACATAAGAAAAATATTGCTTTTGGCGTCTAAAGGTGTGATTAAATGGGGTTACGGTCTTGGGAATTTTTTCATTAACAAAAATCAGATCAGCGTAGAATTATAGTCAATATTAGTAAATACACTTGGAAATGAGAAATCACTGATATAGTAATGATATTTGGTAATAGTGTAAAAACTTTGACTAAAACTGACTACAACTCTAGATATTAATTCATTGATGAAAAAACAACGAAGATCTTGAATGCTGCAACTCTAGGAATAAAAACTACTCAGTATGGTTTTCCTAAAACATCAAAACTATGTCACTTTCAATCAGAGTCTCTGCCATCAAAAGGAATTTGTAGTTGAATTAGAGAGATCAATTCATAAAACGAAAACAAAAGAGGGAGAGAGATTCAACTCCCATCACTAACAGGAAATTTTGAGAGTGAAGTGTTCTGATTATTCCACACAGTAATACCGTTTTACTGCATCATAATATTCAGATGTAAAGCTTGTGTGATCCTTGAGAAATGAGAATGATGGTGTCCGCTTAAAACCAGTCGGAGGAACAAGCAGAGGCGAAAAAGAATGCTTGGGAAAAGAAAGAAAGAAAGAAACCGGCCGGTCCAAAGAAAATTCAGTGATTTGACCCCACAAAGCAATATGTATGTTTCAGTAGCTATTATATTATGCACACAAAACTGGAAATCATTTTGAAGTATGAACAAGCAAAGCTGTACCTGTCTCCCACCAGTTTGTACATTCTGTGAATGAGATCTTCTTCTTGTTCTGACATGTTTATGAACTCCCATTCAATGCTGCTCACCTCTGCAATTAAATGCCACACACACACAAACAAAATCAGCGAGTCACTACAGATTAGCTGAGGTTAACATGATCCGACCCAAGACAGGGAAGTGAAATTGTCGATCATAAAACCCAGAGATTTAAGCTATCTATTGAAATTCAGTTGAGTCTTCAAGGAGAGAAACTATAAAGACTAATAACTGACAAAAATAACAGAGACAGGTCCCGCTCCACATGCAAAAATTCTCTCAGAACTTTAATCAAACAGATGATGAGTCTGAGACGGAAGTCAGAGGTGTGGCTAGTAGAATAAAAGAAAGCGATTAACGGAAAACGAAAGAACCCGGAATTGGATGAATCAGTGATAGAAAGAGATAGAACTTGACCTTCAGCGTAGGAGCTTTCAGTTTTTGCTTGCTTTCTGCGGCGTTTGTCCATGGTTTTTTTTCCCGGAAATAGCAAGGTTGAAGAGAAGAATTGATTGAAAGAAAATGAGAAAATTTGACGCAGATCTTTCCGTGGGTGTAAAACGCCTTGATCAGATTATATACTTTCTGAGCTTTAAGTACGAATTGCGGCCAGGTGAAAATGAGTTTGTCAAAAATCAGCCTCTTTAATGAGACTTTCATTGTCTCTGCTTCTCTCTCTTTACCTTTTTCTTTCTTTTTTCTTTTTTAAAATACTGCCTCCAATTTAAAATGTAAACATTTTTTTGTGATAATCTTGTTCCAAAGTATAATCCACCTTTATATTCATAAAAGTTTTTTTTTTTTCATTTTGTCACTTGAATTTATTAATCTAAATTTTTGTGTCTATAAATTTACAACATTATTCTCATCCATCGTGTACTAAAACTAGAGTAAAAAGAAGAAAATAATATATATTTTAATGAAAATAAGAATTTTATTGACAATGTAGTTTATTATCAAAAGATGCTTATATTTTAACTAGAGAGAGCATATATTTTTTTTATTAATAAAAGTTTATGTGAATTGAGTCTCGATAATTCATCAGGATCAAAAGATGCTTTCAATCTCAAAGAGAAGTACTTGCAGATTATTTACTAATAAAATCATCACATTTACAATAAGATTTAAATCCACAGCTTTGTAGATTATAATCTAAATTCTTATTGGACCAACATGGAAAAAGTATATCATATTTTCAATAGTCACTATATGCTCAATAATTTAGGTTTAGGAGACAATTAATGCTACTTGCCGTGGAAAATGAAAGGAGTTTACTATTTTTAGTAGTTTTTTATACACTATTTTTAGCAGTTTTTCCCCTTACTATTTTCTGATCCAAACCAAGAATAAATGAAAATATATAAGAATGAAAAAAAAAAGTAATTATGTTCTTATTTCAATAAATTAATAAAATAAGTACGATTTAATAATAATAGTAAGGTCATAATAGACATTAAAAATATTATTATAATCCTATTTGGAAAAGTACTAAATTTGAACATTTCTAAGTGATAATGATAGAAATATAGTATAATAATAGACAGCACAAAAATTATTAATTCTATCTCTACTTTCACTCAATTGTGTAGATGGATTTGGGCATGGTTATCCAAAAAAACAGAAATATATCCATCTCTTGATAGCACAGTTTTTCTTCCAATAAAGTTGATATATTTATACCCAACGTTAGGTTGGAATGTTAGAGGATCCAAAATAGATAAGGTTGGTTGATCCTAGTATGCTTATCGTCATTTAGATAAAGTTCACATTAACATTGTTTTCACATCATCTTATAAAGAAACGAAATAAAGCGGCCTAGTGATTCTGGCCCAAAAAAAAAAGGGGGGGCATGGTGATTGTGAGTTGTATAAGTTGTAATTGTAATTAGAAAAGGACGATACGCAAAGGTCTCATTAGTGGGAACGAAGCCGAAGAACCGAAGGTCAAACCAACCAAACAAATTTCGAGGCACTTGACCTGTAGTTACCTTTTTTCAAGAAAATGTTGAATCCAACTGAAAAGACAGTTTTAACCTCGATGTGGGCAAGAGAGGATAATGTTACCATACCCGTGCCTAATAAATTCTCATTCGTTAGTTATCATAAGGCGTCTTCTAAATTTTTTTTTATTATGCCCTTTTTTAATATTATAAAATATTTTTAATTGAATTAAATTCTCAATAAATCAGAAAATTATTTGTAAAATTACATGATTTTTTCCGTTTATTTTTATTTAATAGGATGGTTCAATTAAAAAACATTATTAATTATACCTTAATTAAGAATTTTTTAAAAAAAATTTATTGATTGCATCTTGAAAGATCCAAACTACCTTATATTTTTTAACATGATATTTTGAAAAGGAAATACCTTATAATATTACACAGAGGAAGTAAATCATGTGAGGAGTTACTAATTAATATTTTCCAATTTTAATCATAGCAGATTATTAAAATATTTATTTAATTCTAATTTAATTTTTTATATGACTCCTCAAATGCTTTGTTTCTCTATCTTTAATAGATGCAAAGTTGAAATATTATATCCATCTTAAATTATAAGACACTTTTAAAAAAGATTTATAATCTCAAATATATATATACATAAAACACTTTGATGGAAATATGATTTTCATTAATAATATGTTTTTTAATATTACTTTTCACATTATATTCTCTTTTTTTGACATGCTTTTATAGATAAAGTGTTAAATGAATGGTATTTTTAAAAGTTTATATTTTTATTTTTAAAAAAAATAAAGTTATGAAATGTATTTGATGAGTTTTTTTAATTAGTATGCATAATTTTATCTAAACATATCTTATAAATTTAAATTGAGATAGTATTTCAACTTTGCATCTATTGAAAAGAGAAAAACAAATTCAAGAAGTCATATATAAATTGAGCAGATGGGATAATAACTGTTCATTTAATGATTAAGCTGTTGGTGAAATTGATGAAAAAGTTTGCTGCCTCAAGTCGGCGGAACTAAAAAAAAATGGCTGGCACATTAAAACTATTTTCTGACTCAAGTGCAAGGAGTAATTTAAAAAGGCAAATGAGTTGGTTATTTATAATTATTCTATAGAGAGTTTGTGAAACTTCTGTAAGAACAACGCAGAGATATAAATGCTCCAATAAGGGTGTTATGGAAAAGAAAAAAATTAATACAAGAGAAAGACAAAATGAGAGTTGAAACCTTATACATATATGCATAGATATATATATATATATATATAAGACCAAACAAAAATCCAAAAATAAACTACATGTCTAGGACTGAAGGGAGTATGTGTTTAATCATGATTCATGATAGCAAATACCAATGTAAGAGTCTTGCTATTGAATAATATTGGAGTATTTTTATGAATATTTTAAATCTGATATCTATCTTGATTCTAACAAGCTTTTTAAGTCCTCTTTTTTTTATTTTTGCCGAAAACAAGCTTTAAGTCTTTAACAAACCCAAATAACAAAAACTTATTATCCACTACGAAAATGGAGCTAATAGAAACAGACGGTTCCAAATTCATATAAAGCTCGTGGATGCAAGTAGCTGGCTAGAAATACTAATACATTCATCTTTCAATTTCTCTTATATTCGTCGACCAGAAAAATGAAGCTGCAGTTAGAAGCAGACCTACTCGCTTTTCTTGTTTCAAAACATAGATACATCTCTCTTTTGAAATACGGAAAAAATGACGCGCTTATATTTATGTTTTCTTTTTAAATATTGTTAAAGGTATACCATTTTTATTTTTACAATCTAAAACGTTTTTAGGAAAATAAAATAGGATTTAAGTAAAAATTAGAACAAATCTGTGTGATTTAATATTTTCTTAAAAATATGCAAGTTTTGGCAATTGAAAGAAGATTTATAATTTTGGCAAAACTATGGCGAACTCTATGTCATTAATCTATATTTTTTTTCTAAAAGGTTGTGTGAAATTTAAAAATAGCAGTAAAAATAATTTTTTTATTAACTTATTATACTTAATAAAAATTGATATTTTTTTAAATGTCCACATTTAGTGTATATCATATCTCAAATAAAATTATTTTTAATAAAAAAAATATTTATGAGCATTACAAAAATAAAAATTGGACAGGCAACCGAATCCAATGCATGTGCCGTTGCGGGATGAAAATTCCGTGCATCGTTAAACGACGTCATTTTGACGCATGATCAGTTGCCAGACTGACGAATGACAGCATGCCACGTAACCTTGCAGCCATTCTTGAATCCGAGATTGAACCGGAAGGTTCTGGTTGACCACCCCGCACTTCTTTTTTCTCGGTTAAAAAGCCTGCGTTTTTTTTTTTTTTTGGTTAGTTGTGAGGGATTCTGGAGGGGCATGATTGACAAGTTTTACAACTTATAAAGTGTTTGCGACAGTGCTTATAAAATTTTCACATGATTTTATAAAACATGGATAAATCCTAATAACATAACCAGCCAACATATAGGATCTAGTGAAAAATTAATTTTTCATAATATAACAAATCAAAATTTAATTTTTTATTAAAAATTGTATTAATATTTAACGTCCAACAATATCTCAAATATTTTTACACTTCAATAGATTATAATTAGTATAAATCTTGAAAAAAAAAAACACAAGAAGATTACCTTCGTGTATGCTTGGCTTTTACGTTAGTTTTGGTCAAAATCAAAGTGATGCGATGGTCTTTGATTTGAAAATTGTAAAAAACTAATTTTACCACGAGAAAACATATCTGCTTCACCTTAGTGTAATTTTCTCCACGTTTCAAAGGAAGTGTTCATATCTTCTTTTAATCTTCTTAATTACCCTAATCCAGGTTTACTACCCACCAAAACATTATATATACATACACACACACATATTAGAGATAAAGAAATCCCATATATAGCAATTAGAAAATAGATTAAAAATATATAAAGTTTAGGATATGCCTAACTAAATAACTTAAATTATTTTAATAAAATAAATTATCCTCAAGTATAGTTAATATAATGAGTTGAATATAATATTATGAGCCAAGAGATAAAAAAAATTGAGAAAAAGAATGAACAAATGAAAGATGAAAATAACAAGAGATTAAAAAGGAAGAAAGAGAGGAAGAAAAAGAAAAAATTGAATAGACCTAGTCTTTGGGGGTAAAAAATAGATTAGAAGATATAAAGTTTATGGTATATCTAACTAAATAGTTTAAATTATTTTAGTAAAATAGACTGTCTCAAATATACCTGATATAATGAGTTTAACAATATATATACACTTCCTCCAATTAATCCTTTTTTTATTAAAAAAAAACACCTGATTCTTATGACAAGGCAACAAAGGAAGCATTTATTATAATTTTCCAGTGTTGTTGCTCTATTTTTGTTTGGCTTTTTTTAATCATTATAAGGCATGTGTTTTAAATTTAACTATAAACAAAAAGTTAATAACTTTTTTCATTTCTAGACAAAATTAATGAATTTATATGAATCTTTCCTTAGTTCTGATGAAAAGACTGGGAGTGCGTTATATAAAAAGGATTGTGGGAGTACTGTATGGTTAGATATGGAAATAAGTTTAGACTTAATGCTTCTTAAGCAAATTTTGGTTTTTTTTCAATGTTATAAAACAGCGAAACAGACAAACAGTACGAGT